AAATCTTTGAAAGGCTTGTGCTGTCCCACCTGAAAACCATCACAGATCTGCTGTTAGATCCCATGCAGTTTGCATACCGAGCAAATAGATCGACAGATGATGCTATTAATATGGCTCTGCATTCCATCCTACAACACCTTGAATCTCCAAATACCTACGCAAGGGTCCTCTTTGTAGATTTCAGTTCAGCATTCAATACCATCATTCCAGACATTATTCTAAGTAAATTAAATCAACTAGCAGTAACTGAACACGCTTGTAAGTGGATCATAAGTTTCCTAACAGACAGGAAGCAACAAGTAAAGCTAGGCAGAATCACATCTGATACCTGTACAAACAGTACAGCCCCCACCCAAGGCTGTATGCTTTCTCCACTTCTCCCTATATACCAATGACTGCATCTCAAACAATCCATCTGTTAAAAAACTGAAGTTTGCTGATGACACAACAGTGATTGGTCTCATTCGAGACAACAACAAATCCACATACAGACAGGAGGTTATACAACTTGCCTCGTGGTGTAACCGGAACAATCTGGAACTGAACACACTCAAAACCATAGAAATGGTGGTAGACTTTAGAAGAAACCCTCCCATATTACCACCTCTTACAATACTAGACAACACAGTACCAACAGTAGAGACCTTCAAATTTCTAGATTCTACTATATCACATGACCTAAGATGGACACCTAACATCAAAAACATCATCAGAAAAGCACAACAAAGAATATTCTTTCTGTGCCAACTCAGAAAGCTCAAACTGCCCAAGAAGCTGCTGATTCAGTTCTACAGAGGAATTATTGAGTCTATCATCTGCACCTCTATAACTGTCTGGTTCGGTTCTGCAACCCAACAGGACTGTTCTGCCCTTTATAATTACTAGCTGAATTTAAGGCAGACACACTTACTCCACAAAGGCATCCATACAAAGTCTCTTTATTGGTTCATCAGGCATCCTCAAATATAACTCCCAATTACGTTGAGATTTATCTCAATGTCCAATTCTCTGCATAGCTGACTTTCTGGTGTAAAAGGATAGTTCTCTTTTCATTCCGATAATGGTGGAGCAAGGGGGTGAGGCGCCAGCATGCTGCTGGGGTTCAGGCAAGAGTGAAGAAACATCCCCCAACCCACCAAGGGTCAATTCAGTGACCAATCAGGATTACAGATGTGGCCACATGACATGGGCTACATTTCCCAGGATACCTTAACTACATTTACCATGATGCATTCCCTTAAGGGGACAATTCCCAATTCCTAACTAACTATCCCAATTCCCAATTAACTATAAACTGTCTGGACAGCACAAGGACAGACACAGACTTCAGAGGATAATTAGGACTGCAGAAAAAAACAATTACTACCAACCTGCCTTCATCAAGGACCTGTACACTGCACGAGTCAAAAAGAGGGCTGTGAAAATATTTACAGACCCCTCACATCCTGGACATAAACTGTTTCAACTCCTTCCCTGAAAATGACGCTATAGAGCACTGCACACCAGAACAACTAGACACAAGAACAGTTTTTCCCCCGAAAGCCATCACTCTACTAAACAACTAATTCTCTCAACACTGTTCAACTATTACAAAGTCTGCACTACTATTACTATTAATCTTCTCATCACTCCTTATCACCCATCCCCTCCCACTTGTGACTGTATGACTGTAACTTTGTCGCTTGTATCTTTACGATTTATATTGACTGTTTCCTAGTATGATTTGATTACCCTATGACTATCATTAAGTGTCGTACCTTATGATTCTCAACTCCTGACAAATGTATCTTTTATGTATACTAAGAATATTTACACCAAGCCAAATTCCTTGTGTGTCCAATCACACTTGGCCAATAAAGTATTCTATTCTATTTCCAATCAGCCTCCATGTTTCCAGTGTCTTTCTCCCCATTTGGAACTGAACCAGATGGTCATTTCTTTCAAACCCACCCCAGCCAGCCACCCAGACGAAACCTAATAAACGATAGCCGGCAATAAACGATAGCCTAATAAACGATAGCCGGCAATTCACCCGAAGCCAAGCTGCGCTAAAAGCCCCCAATACACAAAACACAATGTTGCCAGCTAATCAAGACAAAAAAAACACTACAAAACAGACAGAAGATATTAGAAACACCAATCAAGCAGAACACAGCAAACTCCAAGACCAATAAACACAGACCAAGACTCCCAACCAATCAGGATGAAGAAAAAACCATTCTAACAGAGCACAAGGCTAGCACCAAATTTAAAACAGAAACGGCTGTGAAAGCCTGACACACAGACGAACCTAATACACAAGCCTGAAGATGGCAGATAAGATTCTGCCAAAACATCGCTACAACTTTAAAAGCACAACTATAATGACGTGGGAAAATACCTGAACAAAGCTGAATACCATACATACACACACACACACACACACACACATATATACATTCGGCAGAATCTCATCTGCCATCATCAGGCTTCTGTATAGTGTCAAAACACTGCTACAACTTTAAAAGCACAACTATAATGACGTGGGAAAATACCCGAACAAAGCTGAATACCATACATATAAATACCCGCGAAAACTTTATATATATGGAAGAATAAGTACCCGCCTAGATGAATGCAAAAATGCAGTAAAAAAGCTGGAACACACTTCCTCACTAGTCCAACACATGAAAGCCATAGGTCATAGTATCGACTTCAATGGCGCCAAAACCCTAGCCACTATAGAAAACCCCAGCTACAGAATTATCAGAGAAGACACAGAGATTGAAAAAAGACCTTGAAAGCATGAATAGAAGAGATGACTCTACCAGACTGTCAATTATTTGGAAGCCTGCAATCACAAACAAAAAAATCTCCACACCACAAGCCAGGCAAACACCAGGGCACAAACAGACCCCCAATACCTCCAGCTCAAACACATCCCAACCAGGCACCCAGATGAAACCTAGCTTCCTAATAAATGATATACATACACACACACACACATACACACACACACAAAAAGAGACTTATCTCAAGTAAGCAAAACTAGATTATCTTCCCCCATGTCTAAGTATCTTAAGTGGGAAGAAAGGTCACACAAATGAGTTATATTTTTAAATAGAAATCTATAGGCCTATTCTTTTACTAAAGACCAAACTAAACTAAAAGTATTTAATGTGTAGCTGATAATTAAGTGAAAGAATGCAACTTTACACAAAAGTATCTGTTGCTCCTATAGGTAAAGCTGCTCTGCTTAGCATTTACCTTTAACTGATTATTATGCAGAAATGTTTGAGTCCTAGGCTGGAATAATGTTACATATAGTAATATAGTGGAGTCATCTCTTAATATATGAAGTTCCATTGTACTTCCACTTGCTTTGTCCATGGCAAGTTCCAGGTCTTTCCCATCTGCTTCCCATTCCACCCACTAAGCTCCAATACCATAATTAAATTTACAGAGGAAAAAGAAAGTAATAGGCTGGGGGGAGGGGAGGAGGCAGCTGCTACTGATTAAACCTCTTTCATTATTAAACATGTACAGTCAAAGGAGTTATATGTTTTCAGGATATTTTTTCTTTCCCTTATAGTCCTTAATTGGAGTCCTTTTTTTAAATAAAAGTTGCCATTGTACATAAGCTCTATATATTTAAATTGAGATTAATTTAATATAGATTTAAATGAATTGTATGCAGGTGTTGACAATATGTGGGCAACAATGCATTTGTCCTGAACTCATTAACAGACAATATATCTTTGCCCATTATGTGTTTTCTTTTTGGGGGTAAGCATTATGCAAAGGAAGGAAAAAAGGAAAAAAAAAGAGTGAGAAGTAGCTAACAGATATTAAAGGCAGGAAATGAGAGAGAGAAATCTTGCTATTAGAAATATTTTCAGTAACTCAAAAATATTTTACAAATGAGTGAATGTTGTTAAGCCTGTATCTCATAGGTACTAAAATTAATACATTTGAAATGTTTGTTTTTAGCACTTCGGGAGTCTGAGGGGTGCTTTCCAGTGGATTTTGCCTCCTGGTAACTGCCTGGATTAGCCCTTGCTAAGGCTTCCTTGGGGAGTTTTGCAGAAGTGGTTTGCTTTGGCCTCCTTCCTAGGACTGAAAGAGACTGGTCCAAGGTCATCCAGCTGGCTTTGTGCCTAAAGCAGCACTAGGATTCATATCTCACTACAGCAAACTGGCTCTTCTATTTCCATCACTTGGCTCACCCCAAACCTCTGCAAGAACACAAGAGCAGCTATAGTACTGCTATTCTTCCCAATGTCAACAGAGAGAAAGTGGGGAAGAAGTCTTGGTTATGTTAAACACACGTGATGGTAGCACGAAGCAGTCCTCCCAATTGAGTCGGATTGAACTACCGAGCTAATACACCTCGGAAAGTTCAAGGCTCATATTTACTTTAAGGACCCGCCCATTCTTCGCTTTTTCTTGTAAATTTTCTGATAAATGTTACTTCTCAAATTTAAAGTTTCTGTCTAAACGTTTCAATACTGCAGAGACTTAGATGCAGAAGCCTGTGGATTAAGCTCCTTTGTTTTCCCATTCTACTGAAAGGAGAAACGCACCTTGGTGCTTATTCCTATCCATAATAGATGATTCCCACTGGTGATTCATAATATCCTCCCGAAGCCTCTGTGGCGATATAAAGCTGATGCACGTAAATACCGGTAATACACCCTCAAAGGTGGATTACGCTATAAATCGCTAGGTTAGTCATCTCATTTTTTTTTTACGGGAGAAGTAAAACAAGCGCCTAAGCATTTAAAAAATTTAATTAATGAATTAAAAAAAAAAAAAAGTAGAATCCACTTTCGATAAATAGTAGCAGCACTGCAAGCTTGAGAACAAAAACCCTCCAAGGGCATTTTGCAGCCCAGCCGCTCCAACGCGCAAAACTGGGGAAAACCACGATCTTTTCCTCCCTTCAAACCTTAGCTCAAATTCAATCTCTGTCTGGTAAGCCACGCCCTCGGCACAGGCTCCTCCCTCTCCATTCGGAGAGTCACTTGGGGCAGAAGAATTCGTTTTCCTTTCTTTCTCTCTCTCTCTCGCGCGCGGAGAGTGACGTCACAGGGACGCACGGATTCGGGAAGGAGGTTTCGAAGATAGCATGTGCGGGGGCTGCGTGAAGACGGAGTACCCGCCTCGGGTAAGGGTGGGGGAACAGGCTTTCTAGGGCACAGGTCTTCCTACAGAAGACGTTCCCTTCCTTTGTCGCTATCTTCCCTATTCTTCGGCTTCCTGCGAAGTTTGCCCTCCCTCCCTTACCAGTTCTTGCCTGGGAGGAGATGAGATCCAAAGCGGGGGTGGGGGGCGGTTTCTGCAGGCGGAATTAATTTCTCCCGCCCTCTATGATGCCTTTATTAAGACCAGCCAAAATATGACGCTAAGCAGCGGACAAAGTGCAATACTAATAAATATATTCCCGGATTTCCCCGCTACACTTTGGAATTCTCCCCTCCCCTAGGACGAAATAAGGTTAGGAATCCTTTTTTCCTATTTTTCGCCTTCATTTTTCCATGCACAGCACGGCGTTTTTTTCTAAGCCCCGTCCCCCCGCATTCCAACCTGTTGTGGTTTTAAAAGATTCTTATAGATCTATTTGATAGCTGTGGTGGGCCTCTCATTTTCTGCCGATAGGATGCAGGCCTTTAATTGTCACCACTTTTAATAAACTGAGTGATACTATACAGCTTCTAGCATTTTTATTGAGTCATTTCTTATATGGGATTCTGGGAACTGTAGTTCACCAGTTAGAGGGGTGGGGGATAGAAAACGTTTTTCTCCTTAATAGGTACTGAGTAACAAAACCATTCTTCTTGAGAAGATGTTTTTTCAATATCTGTGTGCTATGCTTTCAAGTCAGTTTTTGACTGCTTGGCGGCTGCTTCCTGCAGTTTTCTTGGCAAGATCCACCCCCAGGAGTTTGCCATTGCCTCTATCCCAGGGCTGAGAGAAAGTGACTGGTCTAAGGTCACTCAGCTGGCTTTGTGCCTGAGGCAAGACTAGAACTCACAGTCTCTCAGTTTCTAGTCTGGTGTCTTAATTTATGCAGAATTACTATAAATTACTATGTGTTTCCAAGAAACTCAGCTAATGATGTATGATAGGAAATATATTTTCTATTTCTAGTTTCTAAAAGTAAACTGTTTAAAAGATATTTTATCATTATATCTCTAGGTTGTGTATGTGTTTTTTTAAATTGCATTTCTCAATGTAATGTTGAAATTACTGACTTGACATCAACCAAACAGAACATTGTATTGAGAAATAAATTGAAAATCAGTAGTACATTTAAATCCAGAGATGTGCCAGTTGATTAGAAAATTTGAAAAATGCAAGAAAATGGCATCACTGAAATGTAGGATTTAAATATAGGATTGCAGAGTATATATTATAGTCTGAAAAGTCTTTGGTGGCATTATTGTTGTAGTCATTGTTGACTGTGATTTCTATCTCTGGAATGGAAAAGAATATGCCACAGAAGAAACAGTATTTGAAAACTAGGGTCAGGTGGGTTGTTAGAAAGATTGCTTGTTTTTGGTGTGTTAAATGAGACTTTACCTTTTTAAGTTATGGTTTATAATATTAAGTATGAGCCCACATAGGGAGAAGTCAGATTTTAACAGCTTACTATATAGCAGTAACTGTGAGAGGGATCTTGGAGTCTTAGTGGACAACTAGCTAAATATGAGCCAGCAGTGTGCAGCCGCCACCAAAAAAGCTAATGCAATCCTAAATTGTATTAACAGAGGGATACAATCAAGATCAAATGAGGTACTAATACCACTCTATAAAGCCTTAGTACAACCACACCTAGAGTACTGGCATCCAGTTTTGTTCACCACATTATAAAAAAGATGTTGAGACTCTAAAAAAAGTACAGAGAAGAGCAACCAGGATGATTAGGGGACTGGAGACTAAAACATATGAAGAACGGTTACAGGAACTGGGCTTGGCTAGTCTAGTGAAGAGAAGGACCAGGGGAGACATGATAGCAGTCTTCCAATATTTGAAGGGCTGCCACAAAGAGGAAGGGATCAAGCTATTTTCTAAAGCGCCTGTAGGCCAGACAAGGAATAATGGATGGAAACTGAACAAGGAGAGATTTAACCTGGAAATAAGGAGAAACTTTCTGACAGTGAGAACAATCAACCAATGGAACAGCTTGCCCTCGGAAGTTGTGGGAGCGCCATCAGTTGAGACTTTCAAGAAGAGACTGGACTGCCATTTGTCAGAAATGGTATAGGGTCTCCTGCTTGGGCGGGGGGGGAGTGGATTAGATGACTTACCATGTCCCAACTCTGATTATCTGTTATTGTTTAGAAGACTGGATTGAATACATTCTATCTGGAAAGAAATTAGGTCTGGGGGAAATCTGCCAGAATTATTCATATGTAGAATAAAATAATGTGGGGTACTTAGTTAGCTTCTATGTGTTTTCTGTAATCATAATCACTCCCTTGATTGCTTTTTTTAAATATGAAAAGTTCTGAATGTAGAATTTTGAAATAATTTGTACATTTGGCTCTTAAATCAATTTAAGAAGAGATCACTGGCTGTTTTACCGTATTTCCCCACTTTTGAATCTTTTAGGGTACTACTTGCTTGGAGAATGGATCCTATTTAATGAACTATGTTGGTTGCATTGAATGCAAAACACGGGATTTTGTGATGATTGTGAACAAAGCAACAGAAGAACAGGATGGAGAGGAAATAATCACTTATGATCGTAAGATGGCCAGATTTTTCTGTTGTTTGTATGGGCATTAAGACCCTGTATCCAGAAATCTACTGTTGAAAGTTAAATGTGTCCAGACATGCTTTTATATCTGAGACATGTATTTCATTCCCATTATAAAAACAAAATGGTAATAAACTGTTATCACAGTTACCTAAATAATGCACTTCAGGATTCTGGGCTATGTCCAGTAATACTTGCTGTCTAACAATTGAGGCATAAGGGAATAAATGAATTTATTCTTCCTGTTCTTCAGCAGAATTCAGGCAATTTAGTGTAGTACTCCAAGTAATTACAAAAGAGGGGATAGACCAAAACTTTTCAATTGATCTTTTCTGGTAACTACAGTATTTGGTCATGCCCATGTAGAAGTTGGGGGTAGGGGGCAGCACTACAAAATAATGTACATTATCTTCTTCTGGTTTCCCAGTCTGATCTACATTCCTTGGATTGCATAATGGTCTCACATTAAAAAATATTAATTTTATTTGATTCTGTTTAGCTTTTCACTTTTTCTATGTAATGATTGCCAGTTGCCCATAAACACATTTTAAACAGATTAATATTCTTTTCCAACAGCATCCCAGGGCTGAATGTCTCCTAGCCATGTTGTTTTAATGAGCAGACAAGTGTCTACTTGTATTGTTACTCTTTCCTGCTTCTCTGTATTGCCATTTGTGTGCTCAGTTTCCAAGAATTGTTAATCCTGTATGTCTTTTGCTTTTTCTTCTACTGTATTTAGTGAACCAATGTGCAATGCCAGAACATGCCAATGCTCTCACCTTTTTTCCATTGAAGCAATAGCAACGAATGTTTTAGAGAATTGATGATAGTAGGAATAATCAATAAAAGGCTAAGAATGGAAATTGGGGGCCCAAATAAGGAAAGGTTGAGATTTCCATAGACTCTACCTTTTTAGTATGACTGGTATTGCAGATGTTATCTTTTGATTCCTATATGTGCATATGTCTTAAGCAACTTGATTTCTTTTACAATTTAGAGCATAGGTTTCAAGCCTACTTTGTTTTCCTAAATCTTTTTCTTTTCTTTTCAGATGTATGTAAGAATTGTCACCATGTGATAGCCAGGCATGAATACACTTTTGGTGTGGTGGATGATTACCAGGTATAAGAGCCTTTCATTGATCACTAAATTTGTTTACCTTTTATTTACTTCAACTTTTTTATCTTCTTGAGGCTCATTGTTAATTAATTTTCAGCATATAATTCAATATTCTTTCATACTGTATGACGTTGTTAATGAATAGACCACATTTTAGTTTAGAATGTTGTGTGAATCCAGCTGATGTAGTTATTTAGTGGTTATGCTGTGCAAACTCAGCCAGTTGATTTAGTTATATAAACTATCATTAATTTATTAATTCAGTTTGGGTGCTGTCTAAATACAAATTGACTCTGGGCAGATGCAATAGATCATAAAAACTAGACAAATATATGTGTCCCAGGATAATGCTGCAGAATCCAATCTTGAGTCAGTGACTGAGACCAGAGGTTTATTCTTCTGAGCTTTGGACACATGCTGGAGCCCATCCTCAGGGAACTTCTCTCTCTCCAAAATGTGTGATCCTCAAATAACCGAGCCCTATGCCTTGAATTGTACCTGGGAGCGTACTGTCAACCACTGTAGTTCATGAAGCCGAGATGTCATATAGGCACACTCAGGCATGCCAATCACTGGTTTTCAAAGGCAACCTCATGTAGAACACATTTGCAGGAGTTGAACCTTGAGATGACCAGGGTGTGGATAATTGTGTGAAGGACCAGTTCATCCAAAGAGAGAAATAACTGGTACAGCAGAGCTGTACAAAGGCTCTCTTGGCCGTAGCTGCCACATGATCTTCAAGCCAAAATTGTGAGTCCAAGAGAAGCTCCAGACTCTGCACCATTCTTAAAGGAGGAAGTGGTACTCCATTAAGGATACAGGTGGAAAATCCTTGGGAATCCCTAATATCAAGAGCCGCTCGGTCTTTATAGGATTGAATTGAAGTCAGGTCATCCCCTTCTAGACCTACACAGCCCCCAGACACTTGGGCAAGACTTGAACTGCCTCACTTGGTCAGCCTAGGGTTAATAAATATAATTGGGTGCTATCAGCATACTTTTGATACCAAACCCCAAATTGGCTGATGGCCTCACTCAGCAGTTTCATGTAATATTTCTGCTTCACAAGCTGTACTTGCTGCCAATTCGCTTCTGGGTACAATTCAAGATGCTAATCATTTATCTATAAAAACCTAGATGGTTTATGGCTTACTAACTTGAGGGACCCTCTGCGTCCCTTGGTATCTACTCAGCCAATTCAATCTGGATGTCATCAGGACCCCAGAAGCATGCCTTCTCTGTACAGTGTCTGCTGTCTAGAACAGCGGCCCTGGGCCACAAGAAAATGTTGGTGGGCTGCAGAAAAATCTCACCCCCAGAGGCCCCCCCCCCCCGCAAAGCAATTAATCCAGGCTGCACAGGAACACAAGGCTCATATGGCCCGTGGGAACCCTCCCCACCCACTCACTTCTTACCCGGCAAACTTACCTGTTATATTGCTATTTTTCCTTTTTCCGACCATCATCTGTTCTGCTGTGCCGGGAGATTTAGATTAGCTAGAAAGCAGGAAATCGTTGAATTTCTTTCTTTCCAGCTAGTCTTTAGATCTTCTGCTCTGCTTTTAAGCACAACCGAACCTCTCTTAGGACTGAAGGTTCCATTATTCAGTGCAGACTCACAGCAAGCAAATTGTATGTGACAGACTGAGGTAGCAGATAGCAGATAGATATCTGAATGAATCTGTGATTCTGTGAGCAACTCAATTTGCCTGCCTGCTTTGCCTGATTTTGGGTAAAAAAATGCTCTTTTTTGATTTTAAAAAATCAATATTTATATAAATATTTATAATATTTACATACAAGCCATGCCCAGCCAGTCACATGACCACCAAGCCACACCCACAAATTAGACCACGCCCACAGAAGTGGTTAATGGTCCCTGGGATTTAAAATTATGAGTTTGGTGGTCCCTGAGGTCCAAAAGGTTGGCGACCTCTGCTCTAGAGTGAGGTTTCTAACCCAGATTTGAACAGCCATCACTCTAGTGGTATTTTAAAGGGTATTGAAGACTTACTTTTTCAGCAAGGATGACCGAACCTCCTTTTAACTTGAGTGGTTTTCCTTAGTTCCCATCCAGTTTTGTCATTCTGCACTTTTTACCTTTCTTTTTGTTTTTTGTTTTTCTTATTTTAATGTTTTAGATAATTTCTAAACCACCCAGAATGTGAAGCAGGCAGTATATCAATTTAATTTATGGTTCACACAGTCAATCAAGATATTTAAATTGGATTTGGCATTTTTATCTACCTATCGGGTCCTTTCTAAGGACCTGGGATAGTTGTTGCTATTTGATGGTGTTAGGGGTATTGTTGCAGGACTTAATTTTATGAAAATAAGTGATATTTATTTATATTGCTTTCAAATAAATAATGACTTTACACTACCAAAATCATGGTATCAGATTTTGGCACAGTTATTGCAAAGTGGTAGTTTCAGCAGTTCCTTGTGAACAACGGGGAGATAGAGGGCTTTTATAATTGATACCAATCTCATGTTATACCCACCATATCTTTTAAGGTGTTGGCAAGTAGTTAGTAATTTAAAACATGGTTATAGGAACTTCTGAGAGCTATGATGTAGTGAGTCTGGAAGGCCTCAGGTTGAGGAAAGCTAGGATTGCTTGAACCATGAGTAGTATTATCGATTCCTCAGTTAACACAAATTGATCTATTTCTGCAGCAAATGAAACAAGCGTCTATTCTCAATCACCCAGTATAAATATATCTTGTTTCTCCTTCCAGGAATATACCATGCTATGCATGCTCTGCGGGAGGGCAGAAGATTCTATCAGTGTCTTGCCTGATGATCCTCATCTGATGACTCCATTGTTCTGAAGTGCCTTGATTCGATTTTTTTCTCAGCCATTGTATTGTCTTGTGCTAAATAACAGAAACTTATGGGATATGACAATTACAGAACACACATGCAGACTCTGCTCAATCCATGTGGGAAGTCAAGTGATATGGGGTCAAAAAAATGCTATCTTAATTTTGCCATCATCAGAAGTGATTTCTGCAAACTAAAGGAATAGAGAGGAAAAAGTTTCATTTGCTGAAAGCTTCATAGAAAAGGCAGAACTGCTGCCTCCTGCTTTGGGTCTTCTTGAATGTTTTCTACAAGTCAGAATGCTGTGGTCAGTGTTATTGGCACTGAAGGGAATGCTGTGTCTTGCAGAAATATTTGGAAAGGATAAAAACGAGAGGACCTTTTTGAGACTATCTACCCCACCGCAATACCAACCACTGCCCCCCCAGCTTTCCTATTTGAAAGAATACTGATTTGCAGGAGATGCAAAAATGTATGCGAAAAGTTATTGTTATTGCAAAAGTGTCAGAGGAAAATTGCCTTTCCCAGAGCCATCCAGCACACCATGTAGAAATAGAGGAAGAGGTAAGACCAGGTTACTTGAGGGACCGTCTCACCCCACTGGGATTGGCCCATATCACTCGTGCCAGCAGAGGAGGCAAGCTGTGGGTCCTGTCAACCCAATTATTCCAGCTGTTGGAGTCCAGGAGGAGGGCCTTCTTCTCTGCTGTTGCTCCTGCCCTCTGGAACATCTTGCCCCACTGATGTGAGGTTGGCCCCAACCCTCCTATCTTTTTGTAGGGGCTTAAAGATGTGGCGGAACAGCGCAATGGAGGTGGTTGGTTGAATATTAACGGATCCCACTTCTCCTCCACTCCACCACCCCCGCCATCCCCATGTGTCCTTGGTTTTAATATCTGATTTTAACTTTTTATGTTTTAATTGTATATGTAACTGTAAACAACCCAGAGTTACCCTACGGTGAGATGGGTGGCCAATAAATTTAATTATCTCACAGAGAAAGCTTTAGAGGAGGATAGAACTAGTCAGTGTTTCTCGGCGGTTTCTTTGCCCCAAATTAAAGAAGATTCCATTTTCCTTCCAAGTTTTCCAGAATGTACGGTTGACTCCTAGGAGAGTCATGTAATTTCACGCTTATTAGAAAAGGAACAGAGGAAGAAATCTTGCTGATTCTAATCTAAATAATTGCACTGAACTTCCCAAGCCATGGGATGCATGCCCTCTGACATCGGCGGTTCTTGAATCAAAGGGGGAAATTGTGTTTTCTATTGGCACATTGTATATTGGGTGATCGTTGATAAAGTAAATGAAATAAAGCTGAAAAAAGGTTGGCATTATAGTATTTTTTGCTTGGATTCCCTTTATCAATAGGACCCTCATTAATTTCATTGGGAAAGATGCACATCAATTCAGAAAATTAAAAAAGGTTAACTTTTTCACAGAACTGTATTTGATTCAGCAAGGCTGCCTTCTGTGGTTCATTGATGGTGCCAGCCTGTGGTATATGGCCTATTTCAATTAGGATTTCACTGTGAAATTAGGTAGGGAGAGCTGATCTGAGACTAATTAAACAGAAGTTTCGTCTTTAAGGAACTTAGTCAAGGGCCATAAATCTTTAGCCACTAAACCGTTTTTGAATGCAAATTACCTTAAACTGCTATCAGCAAATGTAAGCTTCAGTTCTCATATGTAAAATTAGAAAGAGACCTGGTGTCTGCTAATGGATTCTAGAAGCATCCCTCTCTATGGAAATTGGTCCTTTTAGAAAGGCTGTACTGATCCTGATGGTGGTATCTGCCCTTACTGTAACTTGCATTAGCAAACTTCACTGATGTAGATGGAGATGACTGCTTCTTGCCAAAGATTTTTATGATGCTGCATGATTACCTTGCCTGCTCAATGAAGCAACTAGATACTGATTTTTAACCGCAAGACTAAAACTAAAACTGGTCATCTTGCCAAGCTATTTATGAGCATAGAATATAAGGCACTCAAGGCCAGTTGGCAGGGTAAGTCAATGGAAGGAATAACTCTTATAACTTGCTTACTGATAATTTCATGGGTCTGTTACCTTAAAACTGTATTGATCTCAGTTCCTGGAAGGTTGGACAAAGTGAAATCGCTAATGAGAGTAATGGGTTTATTTTTTTAACTTAAAAGGAGGCCCTCTAGGACCTGACCTTTTGCTTAAAACCATTAGGCACACATTTGTTTTTGTTCTTACTTTTGCACTTGGTGCTTAAGAGAAATGTTTCTGGCAGCAAATCAAAATCTGTGAAGAGACTTGGCTTACCTTTCTTCTCTTGGTATTCCAGAGTGTGTGAAGACTCCTGAAATCTCTCAGTTCAACACTAGAAGGGACTCATTCAAGAATTAAGGCTTGCAGCTATTCACTATATTCTGTTTTGAGAGCATGGCTAATGGTGTCCATATTGTATTACTTTATATACTCTCAATGTGATGGTGGCAGATTTACTAAATTTACTGATTTTAATTTTAATGGAGAACCATTGAGCCAGTCTGCAAAAGCTGGACTTGCTCTTTATGGCAATGGTCCCCAAACTTTGTGGCCCGGTGGGGGAGAAAGAGGGGAACTGGGCCGTGCAATCAGCCGGCACACATGGACACTCACTTGAGTGGCAGCCTGGTGCAGATGCATGTGTGTGCCGGCCCACCGCTTACATGTGTGGCCCTGCACACACACGTGTGCAATGGCCTGCCTCTCACACAGCCCAGTTCCAAATAGGCTGCAGCCCAGTAGTGGGCTGTGGCGGGTGCTGGTGGTTTGCATATAAATAGAATATTACTTACAGGATAACATTATTCCATATTTGGAAATACTATATTTGATTCTGTTTTTCTGGTTAGGCATGAAAACCAGGATCACATGTTAAGTTCCAATTAAACTGATTTGCCACTCAGGCCTATGCCCAGGAATCTACTCAACTAACAGCACTATTTTGGTGCTAGATAAGAGATAATTCAAGGCGGGATTGGACTTGATCCATTTGGGTCTACATAGAGATCCTAGGCTGTTTCATTTTTTGACTCCGCCCTCAGGTTCAGCCACCCCTCCTACAGGCGGCAATATAAATTTTTCAAATAAATAAATAAATTCCCATCATCTTGTGTCCCTTATTTACCTGGGGACTGCTGGATTTGTTCAAATATTTTACATGCATGGTGTGTCTTTGCATGCTTATTGGATAGAATGTCGCCAGCAGATTGTGCGGCAGCATCCACAAGTTAGATGGTGAGAGAACAATAAACACAGATGTTGCATCTGCCTGTAGATTTATAAAACCTGCACAGCTTTTCTCAAATCCAAATTTTGGATGGGGAAGTTTCTCGGGTCTATGACAGTTCTCCCCGCCAACTCACCACAGCCAATTTGCCATGGTCAGCTTGCCACAGGACAAGAGTTACACTAATACCAAAGAAATTGTGGAATGAAATATGAATGACAACAATTTTTTTAAAAAAATAAACAATTAAATTGTCCCAGGGCTAGTTGTCTTATGGTGAGTTGGCCATGGCAAGTTGCCCTGCAGTGATTTGGCTGCAGCAAGTTGGCCATGGCGAATTGGCTGTGGTGAGTTGTCGCATTCCACCATTTCTCCATCTAAAGATGCTCCATCCTCAGTTAAATCTGTAAAATAATGTTTTGATTAAATGGTGAAGACTTGTGTACCTCTGCATGTTTATATAGCAAACAGTTTATCTTTTATATAGATGATGATAATGGTTTAGATCAGGGTTTCCTCAACTGTGAAGTTACATCCCTTGGAGAGTTGAGGACAGAGTGCAGGAGAGGTGTGAAGAACTTTTTAGCTAACATTGTTACCATAAATCCACCTTTCTCCAAGTTTCATTGTATTCTTTTCAATGTTCATTTGTCTTCATACTAGTATTTGGATTTGTAGGGGAGGTACATGAAGACTGTACTACTGTAAAGGAAGGAAGGTATGATTGCAAAAAGTTTAGGAACCCCTGGTTTAGACTGTGTTCCAAAAAGTATGATATGAACAGTCAAAAAGAGGTGTGAAGGGAAATAAGTAATCCAAGAGTACATATTCCCTTAAGTTTAACCATTAGAAGATAACATTAACCCTGCTTCTCAATGTTCATTTTATTTCATCTTTATTGGACATTCTTTTATAACTGATTTTGGGTTTCCTTTTCTGGAACACATTAAAAAAGACCAATGAAGTGAATGGAGTTACATTCATGGCATATTAAGATTGAAATTCCATGCACAATTACAGGAGTAAGTTTAATTGAATTTAGTGGGACTTCTGAATAGACTTGTTCTGTATAGTGCTATCCCATTAAATTAGCTTGAAATGATGTTTTCCCTCCCCCCCCCTTTTTTTACACAGAATAATGTGGTCTTTTTATGAAAAATCAGGAGTATAAAAAAAATATGAAGCTATTCCTTGACAAGTACTAAAAGAGAATACCCTATAGACCTTGAGTCCCAGAACCATCTCAAAATGTATGCTTCGTCTATTTCCTAAAATATGTTGATGGAAGACACTGATAAAAACTGGCTTGTGTTCCCATTATTCAACCACAGTGTTATTGACAAAGGTGGGGGAAACTAGAAGGTTATTTTTGATATGCTTGGCTAGATTGCTCACATCATTAATGGTGGTGTATATTGTTTGATTGGATCGAACAACAGTCTCCTAGAGAAGCTAGTTTTTCCTTTACTTTCAATACAACCTCTGATTAATTATTTAGGAAGGAGAGAGAGAAAACCAGTCCCTTGTAATGAATTTTAATCAGGAGAGACTGCCTTTCAAACCATCCTCTTTGCAATTAGCAGATACTCTGAGATCAAAGATGTTATTAAAATATGTAATATGTATGTTACAAGGCATTGCTGGATATACTCTGCTGAATTTAATAGGAATTCTGTGGTTGTTGCTATCCGTGTGCTCCCTATTCTTCCTATTTTCTAATTCAACTCTTAATCCTTGTGTTATTTTTATTGGGCTTTTTTGATGCGAGTTTCTTACAGTTCAGATATTTGGTGGTAAATTAATTTGTAAAATAAATAAACCAAACCAAACTCTGTCACTTGGCTTCATTCTTTTAAAAGAAAATTTCTTATTAGAGCTTGCTTGACTAGAAAGACTGCTACCGCCTCTTGGATATTCAGGATTTTTTGCTTAGTGGTGGTTTTTATTTCTAGGATTTGGGCAGAATTTTACAGTACTATAAATCCAGACCTTCTCTTTCTGTAATTGCTGGAGCTGAACTTGAGAGGGCTTTGGCAAAAGGCTAATGACAATCGACAGGTAGTCCCCTGACTTACAACCATTCGTTTAGTGACTGTTCGGATTTACAACAGCACTAAAAATAGTGACTCTGTAAGTCACTCTTTCTGTACTGACTTACAGCACGTGACTGTTGCAGCATCCTCATCCCCACTTGATCAAAATTTGGGCATTTGGCGACTGGGTATGTACTTATGATAGGTGCAGTGTCATTCAAATTTTTTTACTACCGGTTCTGTGGGCATGGCTTGGTGGGCGTGGCAGGGGAAGGGTACTGTAAAATCTCCAGTTGGAGGTGGAATTTGCCGGTTCTCTGAACTGCTCAAAATTTCCGCTACCGGTTCCCTAGAACTGGTCAGAACCTGCTGAATACCACCTCTGCATGGAGTAATGTAATTGCCATTTGCGATGTTCTCGGCCAGCTTCTGACAAGGAAAGCCAATGGGAAAGCTAAATTTGTTTAACAACCATGTGATTAACTTAACAACTGCAGTGATTCTCTTAACAACCATGCAAAAAAGGTTGTAAAATTGGTCGGACTCACTTAATAACTGCCTTGCTTAGCAATGAAAATTCTGGGCCCAGTTGGGGGTCATAAGTTGAGGACTACCTGTGATATGTAGCAGTTTATTACAAAAAACAACCCCTCAGAAACAGGGGTGGGATTCAAATTATTTAACAACTGGTTCTATGGGCATGGCTAAGTTGGTGGGCGTGGCTTGCTGGTCATGTTATTGGCTGGGCGTGGCCAGCTTAATATCACTCACATCGAGGCACGTATCTCCTCACCTGCCCTCTCATGACTGTGGGGATGCTGCAACAGTCGTAAGTGTCAAAAATGGTAATAAGTCACTTTTTTCAGTGCCATTGTAACTTTGAATGGTCACTCCATACAAACAAAGTACCAGTGAAGGAGAGGAAAAAACCTGCAGAGACATTCCTGAGACAGGAAGTCTAGTCCTGCCAAGAATGTAATAAGGGTTAACGGAGAGGCAGTTTCTATAAGCAACATCAGAATGTTTCCTTCCTGCCTTCCTTACAGGATT